AGTTGACTTCTGGGACATCATATAGAAGGTGTATCAAAAATACTTTGACAAAATTTTTTGACGGGATTCTCGCGCCAAAATAAAGACAAATGTTCATGTCTCTGTATGTGTGTGTCTGTGTGCGTGCGTGTGTGTGTGTGTGTGTGTGTGTGTGTGTGTGTGTGTGTGTGTGTGTGTGCAGCAAACCCCCTTTTATACAAGTTTCATTAAAGACGATGGATAAGATTCTACGAATTAAGCTTTTTATTCCATTTTTCTTGCCGTCCTGGGTATGACGATAAACTACATCCGCGTCCTGGGTAAGACAATAATTTACATCCGCGTCCTGGGTAAGACTATAAACTACATACGCGTCCTGGGTATGACGATAAACTACATCCACATCCTGGGTATGAGGATAAACTACATCCGCGTTCTGGGTAAGACGATAAACTACATCCACGTCCTGGGTATGACGATGAACTACATCCGCGTCCTGGGTAAGACAATAAACTACATCCACGTCCTGGGTATGACGATAAACTACATCCGCGTCCTGGGTAAGACAATAATTTACATCCGCGTTCTGGGTAAGACTATAAACTACATCCAAGTCCTGTAGATCACGATAAACTACATCCGCGTCCTGGGTAAGACAATAATTTACATCCGCGTCCTGGGTAAGACGATAAACTACATCCGCGTCCTGGGTAAGACGATAAACTACATCCACGTCTTGGGTAAGACGATAAACTACATCCGCGTCCTGGGTATGACGATAAACTACATCCGCGTCCTGGGTAAGACAATAATTCACATCCGCGTCCTGGGTAAGACGATAAACTACATCCACGTCTTGGGAAAGACGATAAACTACAACCGCGTCCTGGGTAAGACGATAAACTACATACGACAGCAAGGCCTCTGATCAGGAGGTTTTACGGAGCGTGGAACCACCTCTTAATCGCTGTTGTTCCCCGGGCCACTCTGAGCCGGGTGGTAGTACCGGTCAGGGTCTCAGCTATGGGCAAATAGTTAACTCCTAAACTGGGGTCAAAACACTATGAAAGTGTAAAAATAAGTTTTAATATCAGAAATCCTTTTTTTTTTGTGTGTAAAAAAAAATATTACCATCAATAGATTTTTGGAAAAAATATTACTAGCAACAAAAATTGTCGGCATTAAAAAATCATTGAGGTTGATATGCCATAAACCAAACCATACCATTTTTCTTGTGTTTGAATATATATTTTCTTATCTGGACAGAATGTGTGTATGGATATAAAATAAACTTGATTAATCGCAGTACTTTGTGGGTCTTCATTCATGAAACTGGTTGGCAAGTAAGTTTTCGTGGTTTGTAGAACTCCTTCCATATTTAAACAAAGTGTGTATGAGAGAGAGAGAGAGAGATAGAGAGAAAGAGACAGAGACAGAGACAGCCAGCCATAACGCTGTTCAGCTGGGGGCGCATGTCATCTGCACCAGCGATCAGTGTTCAAATCCTGATAGTAATCAATATTTCTAATTTTCGCGTATTATTTTTAATATGCCCAAAGCTTCTTCTAGAAATGAATCCCTTTTCTTCTGCGTTTAATATTGATTAGTCCTTGTTGCCATATAATGGTCTGAAGTCCCCTGCTGGTCATCTCAAGATCCTCGACAATATCCATGCAATGTGTTAAGTCCTGATATGGCATCTCGTCTACAGTCACTTTCTCACAGACGTAATGTGGCTTTCCTTTGTCTTTTCTACGAATATTTTCATGGCAACTGCGCTGACGAGCTATTTTCACTGGTTCCCAAGCTGCATGAATGTAAGCGAGCTACTAGATTGGCATTTAGGTCCCACCCTTCCATTGTCGAAAGAGTTAAATGTAACCGACTCTCCAACTCCAACAGTTTCTTCACTTGCACTTCCCGACAGTGGAACTCCCTTCCTCTTACTTTCTTCCCTGATAGCTATAATCTTCAAATATTCAAATGTAATGTCAGTCGAGATCTGAGCCTTGATCTGATACCCGTCCTTCTCTCTAACCTTTCCTCAAACAACTTTCTTTACACTTGTCCTCACTCTCTGTAACCCCTTGCGTGCTAGTGGCACTCACAACTTGCTTGGGGGGAAATGCTTAAAAAATGTATTTACCAAGTCCCTCACTTTTATGGCATATTTAAGGAGCATTTAGTCATATGTTACAGTAATGTTCCCACAAGACAAAGCCCAAAACCAATAAAGGTAGAAAATGAATAATGTGTATAATATGAACTTGAAAGGCGGAAGCAGGGAGTAAAACGTATGAGGATATGGTGCATCGATAACGATTGACGCTGGACTTGATATTAAGATTGTAGCGTTCGAGAAAGCGTCCATTCAGTAGTGTCTGTTCCACGAAATAACGGTTCTTTGGAAGAGGCTGTTTCGGGGAAACTTCTTTGTTACTAATGGAATACGTAGGAAACGATGGCGAATGAATCCTGTGAATGTAACGTGGTGAGTCTGTTGTGGATTCCGTAAATGGAATCCTGCATAAATAAATAAACAACGCCAGTAATCGAGATAGAAAAATAAGTGTATTAAACGTAAGAATACAGACTTGAAGTGAAGATTAGTAGTCCAGGAATGCGGGTTAGTAGAAAGTCTCTCTCTCTTTTTCTCTCTCTCTCAAAGATGTGAATCCTCTTCTTCTCCCTCCATCTATGGGTAAATAGCAGGACAGACTGGGTTCTATAGCCTTGCATAGCAACTGGTCTAGAAAAGGACAACTCTGAATTCAAAACCTGCGGAGGGTCGTTTGGGGATCTTGTGGCACGTAATGCACCAGGTTTCTGTATTCGGCCCTTCAAAAGGTGTGGATGGTCCCGCACGAAACCTTCACCACTATAATCAAATCTCATGTGCTATACATGCGGGTCTGGGGCCCGCTTGTGAATTCCAAATTCCCATGAAACTCCAATATTGGAGCCGGCTCAACCCACCCCGGGTGAATGCCGTTACAAGAACAAGAACAAGAACAAGAAGAGAGTAATGCTGTTTAAAAAGGCGGGAATCCCTCTCTTCTTCCCCTCGACAATATACAGCCGGGTGGTCTAGTCTCTATTGCCTTGTGTGGAGGAGAAGGAGTCTTCGAATTTAAGACTGTGAAGGACCCAACAGTAAAACCTAACATTTCCAAGAAGTCATCGCACTAAAGAAAAATAATCTGTGGAGGGACTTGATCGCTTGCATCCTAAAGAGACATTACATTTAATAAGCAAAACATAAACAAGTTTATATGTGAAGATAAACTGCTGACTCTAGGCATAGCAAAATATGTTTTTTTATAAAATTAAAAAGCACGTTATATAAGATGAGATAGGTGTGTTTTATAATAAAAAGAACTGATAACAAATATATGTATGCATTCAATGTCATTGTTCACTCTTATCGAAAAGTAGAGACCTTTTTTTCGTAGATTAAGTTTGAACGATAAAGGAATTTGTGTGTAAGGTAGTAGGAATGACTTACTGGTTGCTGAACTTGACATAGTTAAGGATTTCCTACACTGTAGTAATTCCATGACTGCTGTTGAAGTTTTTATCTGCTTTGTTTCTGCTTATATATAATTTAAGCGGGAATTTGAAGGAGACTCCGGGAATTATGAAGCATATTCATTGGTCAATAAATTAGATGATACGTCATGTGACCTTTTTTCTATTACATTCTGATTTAGCAGTGGCAGCTGCATAAAAAGAGGATCAATCGCTAAATTTAAACAGTGTTTTGCGTGATGTGCCTACAATCAGCGAGAGACAATCTACAGCAACTTTCCTGAAGGCTACGTCTTTCTGCTGGGGACAATGGGCAGGACGGTGACATTTTTAAGTGGTTCCATGCAATTATTTCTTCCAATAATCTATTTCACCAGCACCTGGCACCGTTAAATATTTACATTAGACTCGCCAACCCTCAGCTGTGAGTAGCTTTCTTCATGGGTGGTCCATAAATATTGCCTTGTGGCGACATTAGAATTACCAAAGGAATAGACGTCAATGCCACAAAAAAGATTGAGGCTATGGAGAATTATGAGTTACAAGTATCAAAAAATGAAAAGTGCTTGTACATTCAACTATATTTTTAAAATACATATTTGAATACGTATATATATATATATATATATATATATATATATATATATATATATATGTATGTATGTATGTATGTATGTATGTTGCTATAGTGAAAGGGTGTATTTTGTTTAGTTAAATGTGAAATTTGAAATCTGTATGAGAAATAGTTTGTATTGAACAAGCTGACGAAATGAAGCCTAGGGTCAGTGATGGGACGTAGTTGGTCATAGCTCTCCACCATTTCCTGTTATTTGTAGCTTTTAATATATTTTATTTTTCGGTTATTATTGAAGACGATTGACTTGGCACACCGATTAAGCTATTTATACATTTTTTTCTTGCCTTCATACAAATCATTTCTTTTCTGGATATACCATGTGCAAAAATTATGTGTAAACCAAAGCGTATTGCCCATTATCAAATGTGTTTTTTGTTTAACTGAAGATGTAGATTATTTTTTTAATTTTATAGCGACGGGAATACCTACCATTCTCTTATATTTTAAAAAAAATTATTTTTCATATATTTCAGATTTCTTGGATTCTGCTGCATATATCAATATACATCTGAGTAATTTTCTGTTACACAAGCCATTATTAGCGTTGGATTTTTCTGCTATATCAGACTAAATTTCGCTGACTAAATTTTATAACATTTTATTGATATCCGTCTATATCTCTGAGATGAGGTATTAGGATTACTTTCATTATTTACATTATTGGGACATTTATCCTCATCTTCATAGACATATTGACAACGTTTCGGCCACTATATCTTTGAGATAAGGTACTATGATTATTTTTATTTTCATTATTAGGACTTTTATCCTCATCATTAAAGTTGGGTAGAATGCATGGAGCCGGAAAAAAGATTCACAAGTGAGAAGTGAAAGAAAAGAAATTTTGGGCATATAACTAACGATAGATATTAATCGACGGGGATAGATAGATAGATAGATAGATAGATAGATAGATAGATAGATAGATAGATAGATAGATATGAATAGACCCATATATAGACCCATATATAGAGAAAGAGAGAAATAGATAGATAGATAGATAGATAGATAGATAGATAGATAGATAGATAGATAAACATACAAAGATAGATAGATAGATAGATATGAATCGACTCTTATACAGATAGATAGATAGATAGATAGATCGATAGATAGATATGAATAGACTCATATATAGAGAAAGGGAGAAATAGATAGATAGATAGATAGATAGATAGATAGATAGATATGAATAGACCCATATATAGAGAAATAGATAGATAGATAGATAGATAGATAGATAGATAGATAGATAGATAAACAGACTCTTATACAGAGATAGATAGATAGATAGATAGATAGATAGATAGATAGATATGAATAGACTCTTATACAGATAGATAGATAGATAGAAGGACCAGATATGAAAAAACCTTTATATGAATTATTGCAATCAGTCAAGAATCTTGATATACATGAAATACCTCGTTCCCTGAATACCGTAGGTCTTAACAGAATTAAGAGTGAAAGATATAAAATATATATATAAAAAATATATGTAAAATAATAATAATAATAATAATAATAGTAAAAACATTCTCCGAGTCCATTATATATATATATATATATGATTGTTGAAATTTTGATTTCTTTTTGGTTGCACCATTGACGAAGATCTTGTTGGAGGTTTTAATTTTAACATATAATTAACTTTATGCGTAATTTTAACATATAAGTATTCGATTGTACATGGTACGAATATATATATATATATATATATATATATATATATATATATATATATATATATATATATATATATATATATACATATGTGTGTGTGTGTGCGCGCGTGTGTGTGTGTGTGTGTGTGTGTCAGGTGCGTGCGTGTGTTATGTATGTGTATTATGTATGGATGGATAGATGCAATTG